TAGAGAAGTATTGAACATGAATAAATTTTAGACAAAGGGAATTTCTGAATATAAAAAAACGATTAGATTGAGTCACGAAATCTGCCTAATAAGTCTACAATAATTTCAAATGTTTTAAGAAACTTGGTGTGGGAAATAGACTTATCAAAAACCTACAACGTTTGTGAAAAACCTACAACGTTTGTGATAAGTCTATTTCCCACACCAAGTTTCTTAAAAAATAAACAGCAACTTTATATATATGTATATACATAAATTGTTGCTGTTTATTAATATTAATATTACCATCTGTTTCAGAAACTTGATGGCAGTCACTGAGAATTGAATGATAAGAAGAGAATTCACGTGAGATGATTCAAAGAAGACACGTGAAAGGGACAAATTGCGGCAAAAAGCAATTATGTTTGTTTAATAAATGTCATCATAAATATTTTCTAACAATGCTAATTTTTTAATTAAATGCACCAAGTGTTTTTAATGAATAAAAGAAAAAAATAAGGGAAAAATACGAGACATAACTTATCTTATTATTGTTCAGACTTTAGTGTTCCGTCATTCGACGGAGATTTCAGCTTTCAACAACTAACTCAGTTCCAGAAAATATTGTGCGACGATTTCTTTTATGCCACAAGACGATTCACAGTATCTACCGAATATTCCCTTATCACTGGGAGATCCGACTGATCTTTGTAGCTTTGCTTCACTTCGTTCACCAGGGAGACCATTTGGTTCCTTCAAAAAACCCCCGTCACTTCTACACATCTTCAAAATTTAGCGACAAAGTCGTAACCTGTTGCACTTTAAGCTTTTTTAATTAGATTTTGAGTCGAAAGTGGGACCATTTATTTCCAGCTTTCAACTACTAATTTACACGACTTTTACTACTTTTCACTCTGCGAAGTTTTTTCGACTTTTTCATTCAGAAAGTGCGAAAAAACTTTCAGGTAAAGCTTTGAGTTATAATTTAAAACTTTAAAAATGTGTGGACTGAAATAATGTGAGTGAAAAATTGACTT